CCAAGAACGGAAGCAGTTCCTGAAAGTTCTTTCGGCAACCGCTTCCGTAAGGGTCTTTGCTGCTCGGCTCTTACCCAGCCCTTGTGTCCAGCTGGGGCTTTCGTGGCCTTTGTTTGGCCTTGGGTAGGACGTGGTATCGTTTGCTGGTAGGGGCGCAAAGTACAGCGCAGCTCGCTTACCAATGAGGTAGCTGGTTTCTGTTTCTCTGGGGATGTTGTACTTTTCTGGGGGTTTTCTTTTATTTTTGTTTCCCTGCCAGGAGGGGGGTTCTGTCTGGTTTGGCTATTGGTCCACTTAAGTTGTTTAGGTGGCCCTCCTCTAGGCCCCTGTGATTCTAAACGTTGCAGGGGTTTGGCTTTAGCAGATTCCCTTGTTAGTTTGGGCCCAGCCAGTTTTGCTGTACCTTGCCTGGGCTTCCCATAGCAGGCAGCCTGAGGGGGCCTTGGAAAACTCCATTGGGGCTCATTAGACCTATTAGTGCATCTTCTGGGTTCCACCTCGCCACATGCGAGTTTGAAGATTGTAGTGTGTCCTTGTTTCAGGGTGACACTCGCCATTTTTGTCTCCGTCATGCAGCCTGTTGGGTCACCGACACCTTTGACCCGAAGTCTTGCGAGTTGTGCTCTCTGCTATATACCCAATATTCGCGTTGCATGCTAGGTTTAGATTGCTGCAATGTGTTAGGTTGGTTGTCTACCCAGATGCCCCGAGGCTGCCCTGTTTTGGTTATAGGGACCTGGACCCGGAACAAGCACTCTTTGTCAGTGCTTGTTCGCCCATGTGCTTCCTTGGGATGCTGGCCTTACGTTGCTGGCTTGAGGAGGATGTGGAGGCGTCGAGTGCCAGGACTTCATCTGGTGCCCTGACCTCGGCGGCTTGGGCGTTGGCCGAGCTGTTGAAGCTCTTTGTGCTGATTTTCAAGGAGGCAGTGTCTCTGTTCTTTGCTTCTTGCTTTGCATGCTGTTAGGCTGTACTTGCTCTTTCTTTGGAATCTGCTTGGGCCCTCGCTCTTAAGTTTTCCTCACTGTTTTGTCTGTTGCTGTTTGAGGAGACTGCGGTCGCACAGTTTCTGCCGGCGGCTTCGTCTAGTTGTCGTCCCATATCGAACTTGTTGGTTCTCCGGGCTCAGGGCTCTGCTGGTCGAGGTGGGCAATTGGTATCAGTTTCTGAGCTAACATCATCTTGTTTGTACGGTGATCACTCTGTTCATCAGTCGGCTTCTCATAAGGGGTGTCAGCCCTTTCACGTTTCTCCCCATTGAAAAGGCAATGGAGGGGAGGCTTGCACTGTTTGCTCACGCTTGGTCCTACGATTTGTGGGCGTTTCTGGTTGTCTCCACCAGGCTGTGGTGGCGTTGTGTGGCTCCTCCTCCTTTGGGGACGGGGGTGTTCGTGGCTTGTTGGGCAGGCTTCTTCCCTTGCACTCTGTCAGGTCATCTCGGAGTGGGTGCATTTGGTCAAGATCTTCACAACCCGGTCCCTCAGATTGGTTTCCCGCCTGTTTCCAGTGGCGAAACGGAACTGTGCAAATCTTCTGTTCATTCTGGACTTGTTGCGTCTCAATGAATCCTGGATTCCTTTCCCCCTCCTTTCGGGTGACCACTCTGCCTCAGGTCCGGCCTCTTTTAGAGCCGGGTACCTGGATGGTATCACTGAACCTCAAGGATACGTATTGGTACGTTCCTATTCATCTGGGGTTCAGGGATTGGTTAGGTTTTGTATTGGGGCATCAGGCTGACCACTTTTGCTTCCCTCTTTTTGGCTTGAATCTGGCACCTCACGTATTCATGTGTCTTACCTGGGTCATGGTGGCCTATCTGCATTTACTAGGGATTTGGATTCTGGCCTACCTCGATGACTGGTTTGTGTGGGCTCCCAGCTGGTCTGCTTGTCTGCTCACCTGGAGGGGTGGTGGTTTCCCAGATCACCGGGTTTGGGTTCCTAGTGAACTGGAGGAAGTCCCATCTGGTTCTGACCCAGGTTCAGACCTGGCTGGGTTTCATGTAGGATTCTCAGACCACTTCCTTGTCTCTCCCTCTGGAGTCATTGCTGTGGCTGCAGTCCGACCTTCAGCTGTTTTTTGGGAGTTCTTGTGTCACTTGGCGGCTGCTCGAGCAGTTGTGCGGGAGTCTGAACTTCACTGTGCTTTTTTACTCACTGGGTTGGGTCTGGCTTCGTCGTCTGTTCTGGTTCCTTTGGGGTCCTCCCATCCGCTTCTCTTGCGATCGCTGGGTTTGGCCTTCAGGGGGCCTTGCGTCGGTTGCTACGTCGCCGGCTTCCTCTTCAGGTTTTCTGAGGCTTGGTACTCTGGCGCCTTCCGGAGCCCTCACTGTGTGTGTTCATGTTATCTTGTCAACGTTCCTGGTCTTAGTCGTCCGTGTGTGGCTTTGGGTCGCAGGTTGCAGCTAGTTGTCTCGACTTCGAGTTGAGGAGCGAGTGTCGTCCGTCTCCCGGGTAAGTCCCTATTTTCCGTATCTTTGGTGATATTGCTCCAGGAAGCCATAGGGGCTCCTCTCAGAAAATCAGCATTGATTGTAATGAAACAATGAATGGGCTGTTCAGTTCTACAACTGAACTGCCCCGCTGTTCAGTTGAAGAACTGAGTTCTTTCATCTTCTTGAATGTCCCTACCATCTTCTGTGTTGCAATGTCTGCTGGTGGCTGTAGATACCAATCACCCACTCCTACCCCCTACTGTTCCTTTTTGCTTTGACAGGGGGAGCTAGGATTACTGCCCTGGCTACGACCTTTTCCTTGTGTTCCTTTGCCGGACAGTACATTTTTGCCTTAGTGTGGTACACATCCTGGGTAGTTCTTCTCATCTGCTACTCTGTTTCACATGCATCATTCTGCCCTGCTGAAGCTGGTTGCACTGTTCCTGCGGGTTGCGGTGTCGCTGTTTTTCACTTCGCGTCTCACATATTGGCTCGCGGTGCTCATTTCCTCGTTGGCCTCTGCCTGGGCTCTGGCACTTTGGTTTTCATCGCCATTTTGTCCTTGTTGTTTGCAGTGTCCACGGTTCGGCTCTTTCGGTAAGCGGTTTCTTCTCATCGTCGTCCATTCTTGGCCTTGTTGGTCCTTTCGGGGTCCTGCGGGGAGGGTTTCTCCCGGATGGGACGTGTCTGCTCGCTCGGGTTGGTTCTTCCCTGGCTCGCTGGGTTTTGGTTCCTGGTTCCCTGGTGGACATTTCTTCTGGTTCCTTGCTAGCCTTGGTTTTGGTCGCTGCTTGCTTGGTGTCCGAACCCAGGGGTTTTTCCCCAGCTCTGCCTCTTTTAATGGTTGGTCCAATCTGTATCGGGGCTGGTCCGGTCTTCTCCTCAAGTCTTCCAGTCTGGTAATTTTGACTGGAGTCTCTCACTATCTTTGGTGATCAGGTAGCTTCGTTGATGGTCTCCTACCTGCGTGCTTCGTCTCGTCAGCGGTATGGGGTTATGCTGCCAGTCCTTCCTTTTCTTTTTGTCGCTTTGTAGGTATCCTGTGGTTTTTGTTGACGTGATCTTGTCCTTCTCTTGTTGGGGTTTGGGACTGTTGGCTTGATGCATACTGTCACCTTGTCTCGTGCGATGCTGGTGGAGCCGCTACGGTTTGCTTTCAGTTTTTATATTCCTTCTGCCCCATTGCGTGAGCTGTCTCGGATGTTGTTTGCCTTCGGCCTGCTCATGCGCTGCCTGCGCCATCCTAGTTTTTGGACGGTGGGCTCTCGTTTCTGTCTTCGCCTCGCTTTGTTGTGGCCTGTTCGGTTCAGGTTTGTTTTTCCGAAGCTTTTGTTCGTTTGCAGCCATCTCGTTCTTTTCTGGCGAGGAATGAGTCTGCTGCTTTCCGGAGGGATCCTTGGGTTGTTGATGCTTGGTTGGTCAGGCGGGGGTGCATTCTGTGTTGTGTCCGATTGCGGCCCTCTGCTGTTATTTGCGTGCCATGGCTTCTATGTTCGGGGACGCACTTTGGGTGGATCTAGTTTCCATTCTTCCCTCTTCGTGGGTACGGGGTCTCTTGGGTCATCTGCAGTGTTATTAAGTCTAGCCGGCCTGCGGTCTATCCCCGTCCCCATGACGTTCATAAGAGTGCTGCTCTTGCTGCTGTCTTTGGTAACATGTCCTGGGTTGACATTTGGGCACGGGGTTTTTAGCGGTCGAACAGGGTTCTGGCTGCACGCTACCTCGTTAACGTTCCTGGGCCTAGTCAGGCCTTTGTCGCTTAGGGTCGGCGGCTGCAACCTGTCTCGACTTCGAGTTGAGATGTGGAGCACCGACCGCCTCCCAGGTAAGTTCCCTTTCTTCTTCTTTTTAGGCTTTGGTGAAGTTGCTCCAGGGAACCATAGGGGTTCCCCCCCAGAACACTAAGTGTTGAATGTAATGAAATGCCATTTTCTGGGTGAGTCCCAGGGGCTTCCTGACAACCCTTCCCCATTCCGGTCGGCGGCTTTCACGTATTTTGATATCCAGCCTCAGAACTGGGGTGTGGATCACCGGCTCGGGGGTCTGGGGCTTCCCTTTCCCCCTCCCAGGGAGGGGGGGGGGGGAGCTGTGAAGACATGCGGTGCGGCTTGTGTGACGCCATGCTCGTTTGCTCATTTTCATTTGGGGAATTTTGTCCACTCGTTTGTCTATTTTTGTCATTTTTAACCAGAATAGGGGTTTGTTTTGGGGCGCTTACCTTTCTGGGTGCCTGTCCCGGTTGATGGCAGATATAGAATGCTCCAAAACCACATGTGCATTTCTATAGGCCATTGCTCCTCGTGCCTCTCTGAGGGGGGCCAGGTTCTGGCTCGTGGTCCCCTGGTAGGCTTAGAACTCCACCCACATTGACTGATGCCAAAGTTAGGGATATCCATATCAGCCTATATAGCTCTGGGGAGCCTCTGGGACTCACCCAGAAAATGGTGTTTCATTACATTCAATGCTGTTTTTTTGTAATTTTTTGCTTTTGTAGTGAGAACAAACTTTCCATACAATAAACATGATGATGATGGCTTATTAACCTTTATTTAATAATCTACAACAGGTACACCATATCGGTTTTGCTGCACCATACTGAACCAGAGTTTCCATACATCAGCGATACAGGAACGTATTCACCCGAGAGCTGTATCTTCGGCCAAGCCCTGAACATAGGAGCTTTTGCCAGTAAGATTAACTTTTGAATTAACTCCTTCAGTAGTAGCTTCATCAAAATAAAATTCTCCATTACACCACTGTGTGTTGAACTAAGTAACTTATGTAATTGAATACCAAAATGTGTTATATATGAAAATTACACATTTTGAATGGCTCATATTAGTCTTTCTTGAAATCTTGTTTTGGTAAAGAGGAGCGCCATGTCAGCCCGCCTAGAATCTTTATTATTAAGTTGCTAAATTCCCAGTCATTTATTAATTTTCATTATTTTGATATTATTAATCACTTTTGTAAAATGTTGACAAATGTTTTGTGCTTTGTAAATTGTGTGTTGCAAGAAATTTTGTAGTTAGGCCACTCAAAGATAATTTTAGTCAAGCTAGTTTATTTGCTTATAGTCTGAAATGTAGTAATACAAGCAGTTTTTCCAGATGCTAAATTATGGCATCCTGGCCATCATAATTATTGGTCATATGAATATAATGCTGAATAGGTTAATGAGTTTTAGAATTAAGAGACAGGTAGATCTTCATTAAATAAAGTTGAACATTGGAGTTTTGATGTACTTGTTCACAACAAGTTTGAATAGGTTTTCTGGGAGGTCCCTGAGCAGCTGCACAGTGCTGCAACCTGTGTGCAACCATGAATTGGGGAAGACACCAGAACCTTATGACCCATGACCACCTACCAGGGACCAGAACCAGAATCTTGTCTAGTCAACAAAGTGAATGGGAATGTTTGCCACAGAATTGAGTAACAGAACCCTCAAAAATCTAAAATGCTCCTAAACAAGCAACTGTTTGGAGAAATTTGTAAACCTGATACAAAACAAACAAAACAAAACAAAACAAAGATGATCATTACCACTCTGTCTGCATTCAACTTTAAGATGAATTGCGATTCCTGGAATAATAGTTCCGTGTGAGGACATTGGTTCTGTTTCATATTTTGCTTCATGTGTATGTTTTGTGCCACCGACCTTCCATATACCCCTACATTTTGCCTACCTTTTATCTTTTGATGAGTCCATGGATCAATGTTCCTGGTTGGTGGTCTGATTAACCAGGTTGTTTGATATGGCTGCTCAAACCTGACATGAGTTATAGCCTTGTTGATCAAGTATCCTCTGAAGGTGTTTATTAAATTCCAATTACCACCACCAGACAGCCCCACCTCGGCTCCCAGCCAAAATCCCAAGTGTGTTCTGTTCCTGATGGCGGTGTTTTCACACCTGCTAGTAGTGCTTCCGGTCATGCCAGCTTGCAGGCAAGCCCCAAAGCTTCAAGCTAAGTGCCAGCCATCCTTGGTCTTGATTGTTATGTGGGGGCCATTTGCTTTGTTGAATTGTTTGCTGTTTTAGTATAGCTTCACATGCATGTTTTTGTTTTTGGCTTGTTGTGTGGGCTTGACTTGTTGAGCATTTTGAGCTGAATGTGCTCAGGATTCTTTTCCCAGTGTTCCCACTAATGCTGCCCTTGCACAACCAGAGCTACCCTTCTGGGTGTGTTTGGGAGTTTGCCCCTGTGAGGCCCACCAGGGTGGGGGGTCTTGCCTTGGGTTATTGAAGAATCATGGATTCCTCTGTTTGGGCCCCCTTGGTTGGGGGCACTACTTGGTTGTGTTGAGGTGCACTACTTGGTTGTGTTGAGGTACACGGGGGTGCGTGTGCTTGTTTACATGGCATGCCACTGCCACCTCTTAGGCTGGTGGTTTAAGCTGCAATTGGTGTATGTTTCTCCGGTGAGCGTCAACAGTGCCTGGTGTTCCTGCTTGGTTATATTCCTTCAGGTCCTGGGAATCCCTCTCTGGATTTCTGGTGGTCCTTATGGGGTTGCCCCTTTAGCCCAACCTTGGTGTTTGTGAGTTTGAAGGGCATTGTTTGTATTTGCTAAATGATTGTTTTCTGCCCCTACCATGATCTATTGGATCTATGAAGATTGCGACCTGAAGTCCTGTGAGGTGTCTTTTCTCTGCGTCTCTACTTTAGCCCTTCGGCTGTGCAAGCAGCTTTACCATGCCATACCTAGGTGTGCAAAAAATAAATTGCTCTGAATTTTTTTTTATTTTTTATTGTGGGCGAGTTCTTTTGACTCTTAGAACTGCATTCTTGTTTTTAATGATGAAGTCTGTTTTGATTCACCTATCTTTCTGTGTGCCTTCCCTTGGATGGTGGTAAAGATAATAAACTTTAAATGTAAAGGGTTCATAGGCCATTGCTCCCTGTGCCTCTCTAGAGAGGGCAAGGTTCTGACTCGTGGTTCCCAGGAGGCCAATAGAACTCTGTTATTGATGACACCTAGTAGTATGGTACTTAATCATTATAATAGCTTCAGGGAGCCTCTTGAGGTCTCATCCATAAACTAGCATTTCATTATAGTCAAAGCTGGATTTTTTCTTACAGCATCTGGAAACTTGACACATTTAGTGTGTGTGACTGTAGAGCACAATTGACAAATCTCCTCAGCTGTTGTATCCAGGGTTATATTCCCTGGTAGATAGCTTACATTGTCCCTGCTCCTCTAGAGTTATCTTTCCTGTTGAGTTGAGGTTACTTCCTCTACAGGCTGGTGCCATCCTGCTTCCAGGTAGTGTATGGGCTTTGGTTCTTCTGTGAGGTATGTTGATGCAGAGTATTGGTTTTAACAGTTTCATAGTGTTCCTTTGTGTCTCACTCACTATTGGAGCTATCTTCCTGAAACATTAGTGGATGGCATGTTAAAATGGTGTGGATAACTGTGTATCCCAACAACTTATGCCTCCCTTTGCTGAGTGACTATAAAAAAAGGTACATACATACAATAAATTTTTACAAAGATTGGTTGACTTATAGGTAGAGCTAGTACATACAATGCCTAAAGCCACTATTACGCAAAGCGTTTCGGGCATGGTTCCTGCATTGCTAAGATTCTCTCTGCTCTTGATCTCCTGTTGACACCCAGTGCCAGCAGTGAGGTATGTGGAATATACCCAGTGGGGGGTATATTGGATACCCCCCAAACACGGGGATTTTCCTTGGGCCATTGCTCCCTGCACCTCTTTGAGGGGACCATGGTCTGGCTAGTGGTCCTATATAGACAGAACTCCTTTGACTGATGCCCCAGACTTATATAGTGTATATCAGTCCAATAGCTCCAGGGAGCCTCTGAGGCTCACCCAGAAAATGACGTTTCATTACATTCAACGCTGGTTTTTTGTTTGATCTGTCCATGAATGCATCTAAACAGTAAGGAATGAGTTGTTGATATAGCTCTTATAAGAAAATGGTAACTTCAACAGTAGGAAGTTTGTGAAAAGTAAATGTTGTCCTACCTCACATTAGGGTTTCATTGGTTACATACATACATGCACAAGGAATTGCACATTTTGTATAAATTTTGTGGACAGTACATGACTGTCTCATAGTTTGAATTGGTGATACAGTAGATGCTTTGAACTTTATGATCATTGACAGATTTTTCACTATGTCCATTAAATATATACGTTACTAATTAGTTTCTTTTCCTTTACAGTACTTGTCACTATTTACGTTCGCTTTCGGCAAATAGCCGAGCTTTATCGTAACCATTCTTCGTCTTCCAACATTGTGAGGCTGAATCGAATGGGTTTCTTCATAGGCTCCCTTGCTGCTCTTGGTATATCAATTGCTGCAAATTTTCAAGAAACCAATGTGTTCTTTGTTCATATAACTGGAGCCCTGATGGCATTTGGCCTTGGCACAGGATATCTTTGGGTTCAGGTAAGGAACTAATTAACCTTTCCATGGTATTGTTGATCATCTGACTTTGTGATGACATGACTGGGAGGATGTTGAGGTGGAGCAGCTCTGTGCTAGTGCAAATATTCAAGATTGAATGTAATGAAATGGTTCTTTTCTGGGGGGAAGTCCATTCAGCTCCCCGGAGCTTACTAGGCTGATATGCTAATGTCAGACTTCGGCATCAGTCATGTGTATGGAGTTCTGTGGGCCTACTGGGGACCATGAGCCAGAACCTGGCCCCTCAGGGAGGCAAGGGGGGAGCAATGGCCTATACAAACCCCCGTGTGGTTGGAAGCATTCTATGTCTGCCATCGACCGGGTCAGGCACCCAGAAAGGTAAGCATCCCAAAACAAACCCCTATTCTGGTGAAAATTTTGCTACCAAAAGCCGAACAAGTGGATAGAACTTCTCCTAAAAGAAACGAGCAAATGAGCATGACGTCACATGTCGTCGCGCCGCTGTCTGCGTAGCTCCCCCCTCCCAAGGAGAGGGAATGGGGAGCCCCAGACCCCTGTGCCAGCTATCCACCCTTCAGTTCTAAGGCTGATGCTAGAGGTGGAGGTCATGTGCTTGGCTCCAGAGTTTCCAGCACTGTGCTTTGAGTGTGGTGGCTGTCTTCCAGGCGTGCGAGAGCCAGGAGTTATTCTAAAGTACTCGGGCTGCATGTGCCTACAATTATCGTCCCAATGTGTCCTTTAAGTACTGCCCTTGGAGCTTGGGGGCCACCTTCCATAAGTTCCTGGGCCGTTTTACTGCTCGGTATTTCGGTCACCCTTTGGGTGCTTGGGGGTTTTATCTTTCTTGTTTACCTTAGGGTAAGAGGCAGTTTGCACTGGTGCGGGGCGCAGGGTTTGGAGCAGCTTGTTTTCACCATTCACAGCGGCCGGCTCTGTTCCTTAGGGTGCATTGTCCTCTTGCGGGTTTTTTTTGTTCTTTATGTTTTTGCCTTGTGGGGGGTCTGCCTATTCCCCTTTGTGCCTGACTTGTGCACGGTTCTTTTCTGGTGGTGCCCCCTGCTAGGTGGCACCACCAGAAAAGAGTGGTGCCACCTAGCACCACTCTTGCTAGGTGCTAGGTGGCACCACCAACTTTCAGCTTTTAGAAAGTTGCTTTGTATTTGTGGGCGCCAGTTAGCAGTACACTGCCTGGGATTACCTGGGCATGAGTTCTTAAACGCTCAGGACCCTGGGAAACCCCTAGGGGGCGCGTGGGTCCGATGGATGTGTTCCCGGAGTCCCCCCCCCCTCGCTTCGTATGAGTTCGAGGGTTGCTCGGTCATCTTGACTCAGGGTCACCCTTTTGGTTTTTGCCTCTGTCACGCTGCCTGTTGGGTCGGTGACACTTTTGACCTGGAGTCCTGCTAGTTCTGTTGCTTGCTGGTGACTCAGTTTACCCAGTCTCATGATAATATTTAACGGGTACAGGCGGCGCAGGCATTGCATGTGTGCTTTAGGTTGTTGCAACGTGCTAGGTTGGTTGCTCACTCGAATTCCTCGAGGCTGCCCCGTTTTGCCTATAGGGACCCGGACTTGGGGGTGAGGGTTCGCTTCGACCTTGGTTCAGTCCGCGCCCCCTCGTCCTTTCCCTGTTGTGGTTCGTTTTGGTCCCCTTCCCCCCTGCTTTTGGCTCCGAAGCGTCTGAGGGTTTCGAAGTTGGGGCAGGGTTTAGATGGTCTCGAGTCTTGGGCAGTCTCGGGGGATACCCATTCTGGTGTGGTGTCGGAGGCATTCAAGTCCGATCTCCCTGCCGAAGCCTCTGCGTCTGACCAGTTTGCCCCCTTCTGTTCGATTTCTTCGGCTGCGCCGGCTTTTTCTTTAAGGCCCAGTGCTTTGGGGGATGACGTGGCCCCGGGTCCCGAGGAGGGGGTTCCTGGGGCTGGGGAAAGGCTGACTTGGGAGCCTTGGGACTCGCTGGACCCTGCCTGGGTTTTTCTACCCTCAGAGCGGGGCTTATTGTTACAAGGACTGGGGGTTCTCTTTTTCCCTCCTCTGCGTACGAGTTGGATTTGGTGTCTGCCCCTCCCCAGGTTCAGTTCCGTGTTCCCTTGGGTGCGCCGGTTCCGTCTTTCCGGAGGTTTTCAGCTTTCCGCATCCAACCATCTGCGGTGCGGGCGGCCCTGGCGGCTTACCTTCTGCGTGACCCGGATTATGCCTCGGTGATGGATCTGTTGTCTTTCAGGTTTGGGACTTCATTCTCTTTCTGGGTCCGTTACAAGGTTCCGGAGTCGTCCTGGCTGGCGGACTGTCCGGTATTCGCTTTGGAGGCTTGGCATTCTCTCTGTTGTTCCCGCACGCTTAAGTGGCACAAGGCCTCGATGGTGGTTCAGGTTTTCCTGGGGGGCAACCTTGAGCATCTCAATGAGTGCTTGTTTGCTTCTTCCCTTCCCGGAGATGTTGGCATTCTGCAGCTCCATGTGCAGGTTCCCTTCCTTTCGACTGCGCAGGTGGCCGAGGATTTGCGCCCTCAGGGCCTCTTGGCTTTGGCCTTGCGCTTCTTTTCCCTCCTGGAGCTGTCTTCGCACTGGCTTGGGGAGGATGTAGGTGCGTTCGGGTCCGTTCCGGGGACTGGTGCCTTGCGCTCAGCGGCTCGTGCATTGGCTGCTTTGTTGAAGCTCTTTGCACCGATCTTGCAGGACGCGGTTTCACTGTTTTATGCTTTCCGGCTCGCATGTATGCAGGAGGTTCTTGCCTCCTCTTAGGAATCTGCCTGGGCCCTGGCTCTTAGGATGTCTTCGCCTTTTTGTCCTCTGCTTTTTGTGCCTTTGGCCGTGGCACAGTATATTCTGGCTTCTTCGGCCAGATGCCGTCCTATGTCGAACTCGTTGGTTCTCCAGGGGTACCAGGGGTGGGGGGGCTTTCCCGGAGGGGTCGTGCCAGGGCCCGGGGTTCAGCTCGTCGTGGCAGGCCGCAGGTGTCAGTTTCAGGTTCAGCTCCGCCTTCGTCTGGTCGGCGTGATGTTCGCTCTGTGCGAGGCCCTGGGTCTCATAAGGGGCGCCGGCCCTTTCGCGGTTCGCCCTGTTGATGGGGCGATGGGGGGAGGCTTGCGCTGTTTGCTCACGCTTGGTCCCACAATTTGTGGGCATTTTGGGTCGTTTTCTTCGGCGTGCGGTGGTGTTGGGTAGCCCCTCCTTTTTCGGGGGGTTCGGGGCTGGTGGGGCAGGCCTCTTCCCCTGTGCATCGTCGAGTCATCTTGGAGTGGGTGTGCTTGGACGTCGTCGAAATGATGTCGTCCCCCAAATGGGTCTCCTGTCTGTTCCCAGTGTCGAAACGGGACTGTGCAGACCTGAGGTTCATTCTGGACTTGTCCCGTCTGAACCCCTGGGTTCATTGCCCCTCCTTTCGGATGACTACGCTGTCCCAGGTTCAGCTTCTGTTGGCACCGAGCTCTTGGATGGTATCTCTGGACCTTCGGGACACTTATTGGCACGTCCTGATTCATCTAGGGTTCAGGGAATGGCTCGGTTTTGTTGTGGGGCGTCAGGGTTACTGCTTTCGTTGTCTCCCGTTCGGGTTGAACCTGGCACCTCACGTGTTCACACGCCTTACACGGGTCGTGATGGCCCGTCTGCATATCTTAGGTGTTCGGGTGTTGCTCTACAACGACTGGCTGGTTTGGGCTTCCAGCCAGTCCTCTTGTCTGCTGGCCAGGGACTTGGTTCTTTCCCAGCTCGCCAGGTTTGGGTTCTTGGGGAACTGGAGGAAGTCCCATTTGGTTCCCTCCCAGGTTCAGACCTGGCTGGTTCTTGTGTGGGACTCTTGGACCACTTCCTTGTCTTTTCCTCAGGAGTCTCTCCTACCGCTGCAGTCCCGCATGCGCCTGTTTCTATGGGGCTCCCCGATTCACCAGGCAGTTGCTCAAGGATCTGTGCGAGAGCCTGAACTTCGCAATGATGGTCTACCCGCTGAGTCGGGTTTGGCTTCGTCGGCTGTTCTGGTTACTTCGGGGATGTCCCTTCCACCTCTCTCGCGATCACTGGGTTCGGACCCCGGGGGCCTTATGTCAGCTGCTGTGTCGCCGGCTTCCTCTTTGGAATTTTTGGGGTTCAATGTATTGGCGCCTTCCCGAGCCCTTGCTCGATGTGTTCATGGACGCGTCGTCTCTTGGCTGGGGTTTTATGACCAGTGCTCACCAGGCCAGCCAGAAACGGTGGGGTCCGTCCTTCTGTCGAGCCCACTGCACAGTGCGGGACTTCGCGGCGGTGTGGTTTGCTTTTTGGAGGGTTCGGGTCGCCCGCTGATCAACAATCTGGCTCCATTCAGACTGCTCTCCTGTGGTTCATTGCCTGAACCGGGGGGGTTTGATGTGGTCCTTGGCTCTTTGGCGCTGGTCACTTCGGATGACTCGTCTGCTGAGTTCCCCGTGTTTAGCTCTCCTGGCTATTCATGTGCGGGGAGTGTCAAACGTCTTGGCCGACGGACTGACACGTTTCGTTCCCCTTTCCACAGAATGGATAGTCGACGCCGGCTCCTTCCATTGGCTTTGCCAGACGTTCGGGCGCCCCGAGGTGGACCTCTGCGCATCAGCCTGGTTGCGGCGCCTTTCCCTGTATGTGGCCCCCTTCCCTGAATGAGGAGCCATCGGGGTCAATGTCTTTTGGCAGGACTGGTCAAGGTGGGGGGGGGGGGTTCCTGTACCTCTTTCCCCCGGTTCAGGTGTTGCTCCAGTTGCTGACTTGCTTGGAGACTTACCAGGGGAGAGTAGTCCTTTTGGCCTCCTTGGTGGCTGGCCCAGCCGTGATTTCAGGCACTGCTTGCCCGATGTCTGAACCCGCAGGTTTTCCTGTGGTTCCACCTCTTCCAGCAGATCTGACTGGAACGTTACGTTGCTGGTTCGATCTTTTCCTCGAGTCTACCCATATGGTATTTTTTACTCGAGTTTATCATCAGCTCTATGGTGGTCAGGTAGCTTCCTTGATGGTGTCTCACCTGTGGGCTTCGTCTCGGCAGCAATATGAAGTTTCCTGGCGGTCCTTCTGGTT